GTCTTGCCTACATGTTGATGGCTGCAGACTGATTAGGGTACTGGGTGCTGAAGATCAGAGTGGCTATGGCAATTTCTTAAAATAACAAAGCCATGTGCCCCATTGATTGATTCTTCCTTTCATGAAAGATTTCTCTATAGCATGTAGGGCTGTTTTTGATGGCATTTTACCCAAAGTAGAATTTCTTTCAAAACTGGAGTCAATCTTCTCAAACCCTGCTGCTGCTTTACAATTAAGCTTATGTAATATTCTAAATCCCTTTGTTGTCATTTCAACAATTTTCACAGCATCTTCACCAGGAGTAGATTTCCATCTCAAGAAAACATTTTTCTTTGTTTATCCATAAGATGCAATTCCTCATCCATTCCAGTTTTACCGTGAGAGCAAAGCAATCCAGTCACATTTTCAGGCTCCCCGTCTAATTCTCATTCTCTCCCTATTGGTACCACATTTTGCAATTACTTCCTCTATTGAAGTCTTGAATCCCTCAAAGTCATTCATGAAGGTTTGAATCAACTTCTTCCAAACTTCTGTTAATGCTGATATTTTGACGCTCTCCCATGAGTCACAAATGTTCCTAATGTCATCTAAAATGGTGATTCCTTTCCAAAAGGTCTTCAATTTACTTTGCTCAGATCCATCAGAGGAATCACAATTTATGACAGCTATAGCCTTATAAATTTCTTAAATAATAAGAAATTATATTATTTAATTTCATGTAAGAATTTGCATGAAAGGGTATCCACAAACTGTCATAAACTAGCTTTCATAGACATCCAGACAAAAGGTACATACATTTCTACAATGTTTGCAGAACATACATACAAAGTCGAAGGTCAAAATTATGCCTTGATCCACGTGCTACAAAACGAATGCATGTTGGCACACAAGAGAGCAACATTATCTCCTTGTCCATCTCCATTAAGAGATGGAGCCCTTGGGTGACCAGGGACATTGTCAATGAGCAGTAATATTTTGAAAGGAATCTTTTTTTTTTTTCCTCAGTAGTAGGTCTCAACAGTGGGCTTGAAATATTCAGTAAACTGTGCTGTCTATAGATGTGCTGTCATCTAGGCTTTGTTGTTCTACTTATAAAGCTTAGGCAGAGTAAATTTAATACAATTCTGAAGGACCTTAGGGTTCTTAAAATGGTCAGTGAGCACTGGCTTCAACTTAAAGTCACCAGTTATGTTAGCCCTAACAAAAGTATCAGCTTGTCCTTTGAAACTTTAAAGCCAGGCATTGACTTGCCCTCTCTAGCAAAGAAAGTCCTAGATGGCATCTTTTTCCCATAAAAGACTGTTTTGTCTGCCCTGAAGATCTCCTGTTTAATGTGGTCACCTTCCCCAATCTTCACAGCTACAGGCTCATTTGCTGCAGCTTCTACGTTGGTACTTCCTGCTTGCCTTGCACTTTTATGTTATGGATATTGCTTCTTTCCTTAAATCTTGTGAACCAACCTCTGTTAGCATCACACTTTTCTTGTGCAGCTTCCTCACCTCTCTCAGCCTTCACAGAATTGAAGAGAGTCAAGGCCTTGCTCTGGATTAGGCTTTGTATTAAGGGAATGTTGTAGCTGGTTTGCTCTTCTGCCCAGACCACTAAAACTTTCTCTCCATGGCAATAAGCCTGTTTTGCCTTCATGTATGTTCAGAGAGCAGCACTTTTAATTTCCTTCAAAAATTTTCCCTTGCATTCACAACTTGGTTAATTGTTTGGAGCAAGAAGCCAGGCTTTGGCTTCTCTCGGCTTTTGACCTGCCTTCCTCACTAAGCTTAAATACTTTTAGGTTTTGATTGAAAGTGAGGGATGTGTGACTTTTACTTTTCTAACTTGTTTTCCACTCCAGAGCACAACTATATTAAGTTGAAGGATCTTAAAACGAACAAATCTTAAAATAGGTCATGTATTCTGTATAATAAGCAAAATACTGAAGTATGCTAACTAATCTAATAGAGTGTTTTATGAGCTGGAAACAAAAAAGCAGTTCTACAACAAAAATTTTTGCCACTAATAAATACAAGTGCTGTAAGACTAAAACTCAAAAGCCATAGTTCACTGAAAATTTTTGGCAAGGCAAACTTGCACAATTTAAATAAATACAGTTCACATGATCTGACCTGCCAAAGCCTGGAATTTTGATCTTGACTAAAGTCTTCCCAATTCTAATGTTTTAAATAACTACTCTAGCTGAACAAAATATTAACCATTAATCTTCACAGTATATCTATATCCCATATAGATATTTAACATGGACTTATTTAATTAACACATATTTATTGTGTCTACTGGGCTAAACTCCATACTAGGCAATGAAAATATAAAAGTTACCAAGACCAACACAGGGCCTCTCCTTACAAGGCTAAGACAAGCAGAGAAGACAACCAATGAACAAATTATTACAAAAAAGTCATTATCTGTCTGGCTAGATATGGGGGAATATTTTAACAAATCTGTGGAGTCAGAGAAGTCCTTCGGAAGAGTCAATGTCTTTAAGAGAAAAACTTCAAGAATATGGTAATGGAACCATATTCCTATAAATTATTTCTGTTCACGCCTACCAGTTAAATTATTCTTACAACATGTACTGATTAATTTATATGACAGTTTTGTTCAGCATAATATGATACTTAAAAGGCACTTAATAAATCATAAGTTCTTAGCCATAGTTTTAAACACCAAAATAAATCATTTCTGTCACTTCAGGAGAATCAAAAATAAAGCAGTATCATAGCTTTAAAATAATATTTCTTAAATATGGCAGACTGACCCTTGGAGTCTCTTTCAACCCCTTCCTCCCCTAACCATGCTAAAATCACAGTAAAGTAACATAAAAGGGCATACATACATAGGACTAAGAAAGAGAAAAGGATAGGAGACTAAAACACTCAAGAAAATTGGTACATTTTTTATAAAATTGAAGAGAGGGAGGAGTGATAACTGACTAAAGGGAGCAGAGGCAGAACCTGGGTGCTGTGGAGAAGACGGCCAAATGGAAGGAAGCTATTTGCTGTATGGAACCCCAGAAAGGACAAGGCCTTGGGAACACAAGGAGCTGTGGAGGCAGAGGGAGTGGTGGGGCTAAAAACAGAGGATTGACTAACATGTAAGCACATCATTACCTACTCACCCAACACCAATGTTCTTCACATATGTGCACATATGTGCTTACACCAGATTACTGCCCCTTCCACTGCTCCTAGTCTTCGGAGACACTCAGTAGTACCAGGGAAAAAGAATTATAAAATACTGACATTTGGATGCTATTACAATAAGCCCAGACCACCAAATGAAAAGTCATGTTCACGTACAAAGATATTCTAAGTGGTTCTGAAATAATAGATAGGCAACAACCATACATGTGTGAGGAAACTTCCAAAATGAAAGTTAAGAGCTTATAAAATCAAACAGAAATAAAAAAGAACTGGTAAGACACAGGGCAGAAAACAAAACAGAACTATAATTTATATCCTTATAACAAAAAGAGAAAATATAGCAGCCATGAAACCACATGTAATACATGTAATGCATGAACATCAGAGAACAGAAAATAGATGGAAATAAAAAACTAGGATAGCTGAAATATAAAATTCAGGAGGAGGGTTGGAAGATAAAGTTTAAGACACCTCCCCTAAAAACAAATAAACAGACAAAAAGATATTAAAAACTGGAGTATAAGAAAGATTAGAACTAGACTGAGATCTGGCAGGAGATTCAACACCACAGTAATAGCAGTTCCAGAAAAAGATTGATTAAAAGTTCTGATTGGGTTAATCAGAGCACAACTCTAATGCTATTCTGCTTCCCAAGCCACAAAAAAGTGTGTGAATGGTGGGAGGGGGGTATTAGGACGGGAGAGGGTTGAAGTGAAGAGGTATTTCTTAGTAATTTAAATATTTATTGAATAAAAGTGCATTACGTTGTTTGCTTGTGATTTGCTGCTAGACCGTCCATTAAGTCCCTAATCTAAATGCATTGACAACTTCTAAAGAAGAAAGGCTATATACATTTCACCAAAGTTAAAAAGAACACCACTGTCTCTTTCCTAAATTACATTCTTCTAAGCCTTTCACACTCTTTCATTCTCAACAAGGAAAACTTCCCTAGACAATTTTCCTATTCTTTTATAAGACTTTTAGATAGACTAATATGACAAAAATATTATGCTCCTTTCTTTACTCTTACCTTACACTTGTCTGGACCTATACCTTATGTTATTAACTATGAACATTTTCATGTCATTTTACTCTGCAGGAGTTACTTTCATTCACAGTCTCCTACTTTCTTCTGCTTCACTGCATCTACTTAAGGGACTCTGGCTTTAGTGCTCGGAGAGGGAAAAAAGGGAAATATGTACACTCCTTTCGAATAAATGACGTTTTTCTTTTCCAGTCTAATAACATTTCCACTCCTTCTGTAGCAGGCTACACAGATTTAACATTTCCTCTCTCCTGGGGCTAATAAATGTCAATAAACTAACGCAATGACTTTTGAGACCTGAGACCACTGCTTCGAAATGCATCCTACTGCCCTGGACCTGCTGGGTCATTTGCAGTCACACAGCCCAGTCTGGAGGTTCCCTTTTCCCACGCATGCAGCCTTCCACTTTCTGCCAGTCATGACCTTCATTGCTGAGTTTGTTTTTGTTTTCTTGAAGGGGGAAAGTATTAGTCTGGAGTTTATGTTGATAGGTGGCGGCTGCAGCTACCTTTAAAGTCCTCGTGTTTCAATGACAACATCACCTACGTCTTCCCAACTCGTGGCTGTCTGGCCTAGGAGGTCTCAATGTCGCTCACAGGAGGTTCCCCAGACGCGGCCTCAGAGCTAACAGCGTCTCCACAAACGCCAATGTCCAGTGTCACGGTGGCCCACAGTCTCGGGCGCACCCCGCGCGGCTGTCCCGCTAGCCCTCCCCGGGCGCAGGTGGAGCACCTGGTCACCCGACCCCGGGGCGTCACCTGCGGGCCGGCCCCGGCGCGCGCACGCGCTCGCGCACATACCGTCTCCTTGGCAGCGGCGACCGGGATGGGCAGCAGCCCCCGGCCGCGGGGTGGGTCCTCGGGCTCTGCGGCCGCGCTCTCGGAGGGACGTCCGGGCGCAGGTGGCTCGGTCCTGGGCTCCCCGTACAGCTGGTAGCACAAGAGGCCGACGAGACCCCCGCCGGCCGCCGCCGCGATGCTCAGCTCGCCCCAGCGCCGCCGCCGCCTCCAAGCCGCCTCGGCCACAGCCCCCTCGTCATCCTCTCGGCAGCAGAAGGGCCTCCCAGGTAGGGCCGGGGCTGTCCCCGCAGGCCGCCCCCACGGCCCAAGGAAGGGCTGGGGAGCGGACAGCCGAGGCGGTGGCCACAGGAGCCTCCGCAGCGCAGCCATAGCGGGAGCCGCCCGCGCCTCAGCCGGGAGGGGGCGGGCGGTGGGGGCGGAGGGGGAGCCGAAACCTCGCGAGATGTCGGAGCGGGCGGCTTCGCCGCTGTACCGGAGCGGCCGCTGCGAGCGCGAGGCCTGGGGACAGCCTTTAGCTTGGGGAACCGGGGCTTGGCCTTGGAGGAGGCAGCGGATTCCTGCACCCCGCCGCCCTCATAAATAACCGCGCCGGCACCTGGCTGCGCGGGAGCCCAGCGCCGCAGGGGACAGCTGGGTCAGCGGGACTCTGCAGAATCCTCGTGGGACGGGGTGTCCGCGCGCCCCTCCGCTCGCTTGGTCCCCAGCCTCTGCTTGTTGAGTGGGTCTCAGAGCACTGATCACAGCGCCCCTTTAGGAAAGAGACATTCCCTAACTATCCTCCAGGTCGTCGTCAGTAATTTCCAAGTGTAGTTTCACATGTACAGTAAAAATGGGGTATACTGATTTGGTCCAAGTCGTAAAGATTGCAAATGAAAGTATAGATTGCCCTTGACTGAACAAGGACAGCGTGTGGACTTCTGATGGGAGGAGGCTAATACTATCTTTTTAGCTACTTTCTATATTTTTGAGGTATATTTGCATACCTGTGGACACTTAATTCAACATATAATGTCTTAAGCAAGGATACAGGAAGCTAATGGTTTAAAAAAACTCTGAATAAAGACAAAATCTTAAAAGGTACCCTCGCATTTGGGAGAGTCTGTTGGTATTAATATAAAGTAAATAGTGTACTGTGTCATCTTTATTTTTGTTTTTGCTTTACTTTTTCTTCTATGAGGAGGTGTATGTGACATGATCAGTTTTCCAGTTATGCTAGTTTTAGTTTTCATACTATGGAATGCCGCTAGGAGCCCCTAAAATACTGTGGGTCTTGTAGACATCAAATCCAATAGTCTCTCAATTGGGCTGCAGCAACAAGAGGTTTAGATACGTAGATTCTGGAGATTTTGTTTTTCCTTTGAGACCGAGACTCACCTTGTCACCTTCGGTAGTGGCGTCACAGCTCACAGCAACCTCAACCTTGGGCTTAAGCGATTCTCTTGTCTCAGCTTCCTGAGTAGCTGGGACTACAGGCACCCGCCACAACCCCTGGCTATTTTTTGTTGTTGTTGTTTAGCAGGCCAGGGCTGGGTTCGAACCCAGCGGCCCCAGAGCATGTGGCCAGCACCCAAACCACTGACCTATGGGCGCCTCGCTGATTCTGAGCGATTCTTCTAAAGACTAAGGGCTTTCTTTCTTTTTTTTTTTTCACACTTAAATACTCATTTCTTAATGGTTTTGTATCATACACATTAGGTAAAGTCCCCCCAAATACTCTCCCTCCTCCCATATTCCTACTCCCCTCTCTCTCCTCTTCCCTTCTACTTTCTGGACCATAGTTATGTTTTACCATTCATATGAGTGTATAGATGGTTATATATTGATTTCATAGTAGTATTGAGTACATTGGATACTTTTTTTTCCATTCTTGAGATACTTTGCTAAGAAGAATATGTTCCAGCTCCATCCAGGTAAACATAAAAGATGTGAAGTCGCCATCTTTTTATGGCTGCATAGTATTCCATGGTGTACATATACCACAATTTGTTAATAAAGACTAAGGGCTTCCAAAGATAATAAAAATGAGGTTCTCTGGAGCAGTTCTTGTGCTTTCTATTCCACACTAACCCTTGGCCTGTAAGTAATGTATCAGATACACCACATTATATCTTATACATTAATGAATTTTGCTTTCTTTCTTTTTTTTTTTTTGAGACAGAGTCTCAAGCTGTCCGACTGGGTAAAGTGCTGTGGCATCACAGCTCACAGCAACCTCCAACTCCTGGGCTCAAGTGAGTCTCCTGCCTCTACCTCCCAAGTAGCTGGGACCACAGGCGCCGCCACAACGCCTGGCCATTTTTTTGGTTGCAGCCGTCATTAGTGTTTGGCGACCTGGGCTGGATTCAAACCTGCCACCTTAGGTGTATGTGGCTGGTGCCTTAGCCACTTGAGCCACAGGCGCCGAGCCGAATTTTGCTTTCTTGAAGCTACTAAAAGAAGTGAAAAGAAAAATCTTCTCTAACATGAACAAACCGTTATCTATTTTAGGATATCACATCTGGACTTCTCTTCTCCTTCGGCCCACCTGTTTTATGTCATCAGGCATAAGGAAGACTCAATGGTATCTCATTTCTTTACCACCAAGTTTTCTGCCTTCTCTGAATTCTGAAAAAAATTAGTTTTTCCAAAACACATATTTTCTGGATATGTATTTATATATATCACAGTTGTTCAGGCATCGTGTACTTAACATAATTCCCTGATTTTCTCGTCAATTTTCATCTATCTGGATGCCAGAATTCTTGGACAGACTGATAATTTTTTTTTTAGTTGCCTGTTAAAAGCTGGGTAGTGCTAAAAAGATTGGGGAGTTAATACAAATAATATCATGTTACAAATGAGAAAGATGACAAAAATTCTCTAAGGTGACTTCAAATATAGTATATACACATATACATGCACATATACGTTTATATCTGTCTATTGTCTATCTAATTTCTCTAGTTTTAGTAAGTTTTATACAGCTTTGGCAAACAATATTTATAGCTCTGATAGAAGCTAAGTTCTGTGAGAAGATGCTAGGTTTAAGTTTGTATAGTTTGCAGAGAGCTTTAGAAAAAATGACTCTCTGTGCGCAAAAGTTATTCTAATAATAACTTGCCACAGTACTTTCCCTCTAAAAGCCAAATTTCCTTAAAAGTAATTATTATGCTCTTTGTTGTATTTGATGTTCTATAACTATAGCTATACCATGAACCAAATTCCTCTGTTATGTGATTTTTTTTTATTAAATCATAAACACATAGACACATTAATGCATATGTGGTTCAAGGTACTGATTTCATATAGAATTAGGAACACTTACATCACACTAGTTAATATATACCTCATCTCGTTTACTTAGTTATTGTGTTAAGACCTTTATACTCTGTACTCATAGATCCGACATGTGCCCTTGCATTATGCACCATAGGTGTGATCCCACCATTCACCCTCCCTCAATCTGACTTTCTTCCTCCCTCCTTCATCTTGGGCCATAGTTGTGATGTATTCTTCATACGAAAGTGTGAGTGATTGTAAATTGGTTTCATAATAGTACTGAGTACATTGGATATTTTTTCTTCCATTCTTGAGATACTTTAGTAAGTAGGATATGTTCCAGCTTGTGACGTGATTTTTAATATTCATTATAAAAACAAAACATGATATTTAAAAATTTCAGATAATGTTATTGGATCAATATAGATTCAGCCCGGTTTCCTTCATCTTTTACTGAGTCAATTGTACTGAGCATTATTAATATCCAAAAAAAAAAGGCCCTTATTCCACACCTTGAAAGAAATTTATTTATGTTTCCTAGCATAAGAAGTGTTCTGAAACATTAAAAAATGTTTCAACAGTGGAGATTAAGCCAAAAAGGTATTTTTTAGGAAAGTGTATATCTCACTGATAGCTGATAAATTCTAATTTATCAAGAAACGTGGATCTACTTTTGGTTTTGCTACATCGTCATTATAATGCTTTGGGGGCCACAATTTCCTGTAACATAATGGAGTTGAATAGCTGATCACCTTTTGAACCCATGGTTCTAATTAACCAAAATGCCCCAAGCATATCAGTAAACCACATTTAGAAACATTATAGCATCTTCACGTACCATTTCTCTTCTCCAAATCTACAATTGGCTTCTGATTGCCTTTTCTTTCAACTTAAATTTCTGTTCTTTGACCTAATTATTTTAAACTTTTAATATTTTTTAAATGGCAATATATTAGTGAATTTTAAATTTTGAAAATGTAATAGCCAGAAATGTCTTGGTTAATGAAACCTCTTAAAATAATGCTTCTCCCCTTATTTTTCTCACTCTGAGTTGCATCCAGATTCTTGATGAGTTGAAGATGGGCAGATAGGTACGATATCCTGTATCGGGGAACATAAACCCCAGCCCCAGCCCCAGTTCCACTCGATTCTGACTGGGGGATTCTACTAGTCAAAGAGCAAAGCTGCAATAATCTTTTTCTCTCTAGAAAGTTGTCATAATCATTGTCCTTGACCTTTGGTGCTATATTCCTTAGGGAACAATGAGCAAAATCTAAGGAGAAAAATGCTGGGGAAGTCGTGTTCCCTGGCCTTACAGCCCTTTCTTGCTCTTTTGTCTTCAGAGTGCTGGCCATCAGGAGTCTGGAACTTAATTCCCCAGCAGTCAGATCCTGGGCTGTGGAAACCAAGTTCCTCAAGGCATCCAGAGTCTGTTTTCTACTGTGACTAACTCCCACTCCCAAAGACAATGCCATGTATACCATTCCCTTTCCCTTAGCCAAAGCTAAGCTGTGTGTAAACTACAAGAATCCAGGACACATATCTCCTGGCACGTAGTAGAACTTCAATCATATTTATTAACTGAAAGGAATTGATTAATCTTTTTAGAGGGGAGGGTGGAGAACAAGATAGGAAAGCGAATCAAGAGACGAGGAAATATGGTGGCTCATCAAACATTAAAGGAGCTGATAAACCAAGCAGCATGTCTCGAAATGCAACCAACACAAGTGGGAGATCAAAGCAGAGAGCAAGGGGTTGGTGAGAAAGGGTCAGGAAGGGAGTGTGTCTGTAGAGAAGAGTAAATTAAAGAACAAATTCTGTGATTTGAAGATTCTAGTGCTGAGGCTATGCTATTACATATTATGTGGTTAGGTACTATTGGACTAGCAGGCGTCCTCAAACCACGGCCCGCGGGCCACATGCAGCCCACCTAGGACATTTATCTGGCCTGCCTGTGTTTTTGCTGCCGCTGCCTGTCCTACTTAGCAGCCACCTCGTCCCGGGGCCTGCAGTCTGGCCTTCCAGTGGTCTGAGGGACAGTGAACTGGCTCCCTGTTTAAAAAGTTTGAGGACCCCTAGGTAGAGCCTTAGTGCAACAGGTTTCCACCATCGCACTCTGTTATTCCGCTCCTAGGAGGGAAA